GACCGGGGCGCGGGGACCGGCGCGGAGCGGGCGGGGCGCACGGAGCAGCGCGGCGCACAGCATGGGCTGTGGACCTTCCCAGCTTGCTGAGGAACAGAGATCCGTCGCCGCTCCTAGGAAGGGCTGGGAAGAGGGATTCAAGGTAAAACAGACAAACAGGCATGAACTTTGCCAAGCCTGGGGGAGGCTGAAGCGGGCTGGAGCAGGGTCTGCCGCGGCTCACAGTGGATGGGCAGGAGGCTGGGTGGTTGGGACCAACTTTAGGAGGCCAGTGTTTCACTGCTGTCTTAGCCGGGATTCCTGCTGCTATAGGACAGGCTTCGAGAGTCTCCTGTTTCAAGAGCTAGGGACGGTGATGACACCCCAGGGCAGAGGCAGAGGCTGGGATAATGGGATGCGTGGTGCGTTCTGCACAGAGCTGGGGCTGGAGGTGACGCTCTGGCAGGTGGGAGTGCCTGGGAGCTGCCATAAATTATTGGCTTCCAGAAAGTGGGCCCTTTGGGAATTACTTAGAGCTGGAAGAGATCTTGCTAGCCTCTTGAGACCCAGAGAGGTGGACCACTTGACCAAGGCTGCGCAGCTTGTTTGGAGGGCAGAGCTGGAGATACACTCTAAATCTTCAAAAGTCTCCTTCCGATATTCTTTAGACTCTCCCTCAGGATTGCATTCCCCTTAATTCTTCTGGAGACATGAAGGGGAATTTTTTCCAGGGTGGGGAATGGAGGGATGGGTTTGATCCAGACAGAAATGAGGGCCATGATTTCTTCCCATCCTCAGCACCATCAAGATCCCACCAGCTGAACTAGGAACCCACAAGGGCCCCCTTGAGAGGAGTTACCAGAAGATGTTAGCAAATACTTTATCATGGAAAGCAGAATCCTTTCAAGAACACTAGTAATAAATTTGCCCAGACAGTCTGATCTAAGCCCATACTGTCACCTTTCCTAAAGGGCATTTTTGGAAGTACAATTTAAAGAGCACACACTTTCTATCCACAGGCAATGTGCACGACGTTATTCAGTGCCAGTTACAGGGCCTACTCTGTATGAGGCACATCTACTGGGCTCTTGGAGTCAAAAAAACAAACCAGGGTCTACTAAAGGCTGAGACTCAGGCTTAGTACCTGCTGCCCTGGAGGAGATCAGAAAACATCTGCTTTCCACCTCAACTTCCAGAGTCTGCATTTAGGGCCAAATTACCTCTTCCCGGGTCTTTCTGCCTCTCCTGTCACCATCCAAACCAGTCTACCTCCCACACTGCCACCCATCTTCCTAAGAAAAAAATTTTTAGAGTGTGCACAACCCTTGATATGTGGTCCCACTAATCTCTCTAATGGCATCCTCTCTGTCCAGTCCTTCTCCCTCACGGACTTTCCTGTCTGCCAAGCCAAGATGCAGTGCTCACTTCTTCCAGGCCTCATCACCCTGCAGCTCTTTGCCCATGCCATTCCTTCTTCCTGGAATGCCCTTCCCTGTCCCCATTTCCAGTTCTCCTGATGAACTCTATTTATCCTGCAGTACTGAACCCAGATAAATGTTTGTTTAAGCTTCTTCTGCCTCTTAGATTCATGGGCTTCTTGGGAACAATTTGGTCATCTTTGTTATTTCTCAGAATCATTTTGGGCTATATCCCTATTTAAGGGAATACTTTTTTCTCTTTTTCCAAAAAATATATTAATATAATTTAAAGTATTAATTTGTTTTGTTTTCCCTTTTTTTTTTTTGTACAAAGGCTTTAACTTTTTATTTTACTGGCATGATTACATATAATACTTCAATAGAAGAAATTTTCAGTATTCATGTTTCTTTTCTGGCCATTGTCATTTATTCCATTATATGGTTTTTAATTTGAAAATATTTTTTTATATAGAGCTAGAAGGCATGCTAAAAAGCAAGTTCTCTGTCAAATATACTAGGTCCCCCTGGGCCAAGCTTCCCCAAGGCCTTGTAAGGTTTCTGGGTTTCTTTGTGAATTTCTTGGGTGAGATAGTCATTGCCTCTTGCTTGGATTTTTGAACAATTTCCAAACTGGTCTCTCCAGATTCTTCCTCCACTAGCCAGCCCCACCTGCCCTCCATCTTCAGTCTTCCACATGACCTTCAGTGATCGTTGTAAAATAAAATCTGATAATACCATCCTCTGCTGAAAAAAGTTACCAGCCCATTAGTTAGGCCCACAAACCAGTGATCAAGAATGTGACTACCTAGGTTGGATTTCTGGATTCACAGCTTGTGTGATTTTGGTCAAGTATTTAACCTCCCTGTGCCTCAGTTCCCTTATCTGTGAAATGAGAATAATTAATAATAGTGATTTTATAAAATTGTTGTGAAGATTAAGTGAATTCAATTCCTGTAAAGTGCTGAATCCAATGCCTGGCACAGAAAAGGTGCTTAATATTAGTTATTACAATTATTATTATTACAGTTATTTATGTAAGATCAAATCCTAAACCCTTAGCATGCCTTCCTAGCCACCCTCCAGCTGACCTGTGTCAAATTCTCCACACTCATATTCTAGTCACACCTTACTACTCACTGTTCCCCAAACCCATTGTTTCTGCCTCCATGCCTTTGCACGCACTGTTTTCTCTCCTTTCAGACTTTCCTTTTTCTTGGGCCACATGCAAGTACATACCTGTCTTTCAAGTTGCCTCAAGAACATTCTTCCCCATTTTCCCTGCCACCATGCTGACAGAGTTGACCTTATGCTTTCTCATGACACGGTTTACATTTTATTGTGCTTGTTTCCATGTTTGCTCTCCATCCTGAGCTATTACCTGCTTGAGGCCAGGAACTGTGTTTTATCTTTTTATCTCCAGTGCTTACTTCAGCTCCTGACGCAGATCAGGCACTCATGAATATTTCTTGAGTGACTGCATGTCCTTCCCAGTTCCTCTCATTCCATAGTGTCTGCCTGTCTCCTAGTGGTGTAACCAGACTAATGACAGTCAGCAAGGAGGAAATCCAACATTTAAAAGCAGAGAGAGAACTCAAGGTCGTAGGCAACAGTGTGGTGATTGCGGGGGTGGAAGTGGTGGTAAGGGGGATAAATGCTGATGGAGAAAGATTTTTTAAATAAAATAACCTGAAAATAGACTCAGAGTCAACTTTGGAAATCAGATCTGGGAAAGGTATGATTATTAATTAAACACTAGCAATCAAAACAGTACTGCTTCCGGCTACCTTCATAAAGTCACAGAGCTGAGAGTTCAGGAGTTCAGCAGTGTCTTTAAAATTAGATAAACATGTTTGCTTGCATGAAATATTTATGTTTCTTGGTGGCACAACTTTAAAATATTCTGAATCAAACTTCTTGAGACCTGCCTGCAGACTTTCTCTTCACCTTAGCAGAGTCTAAAGTGGTGAGAAGTCGCTGCAATAAAATAAGAACCAATGGGAAACTTCATTGGGGAATCGCCTTCCATATGATCAACTCAGAGTTTCTTGCTGGACGTAGAAGGGGACGGGCTATACTGGAACAGATGATCTCCAAGGATCCCTCATAGTTTTCCTCTAATATTTGACATGAAAATGTTCATTTATTGTCAGTTAAAGGGACTAAATACTTCTTACAGTCCAATTTTTAGAAGAGCATATTTCTGACTGTTTTGGGGAGAGCTATAATTTGTTATATCATTCATTAGAAGTAGAAAAACAACAAATTTTGAAGAATAAACTCTTTCTATATATCTGTGGACAAATATATTTATTGGATGTATCTGCCAGTAATTAGGTTTTAGAAGGTTTAAGCTCCAGGGAGCCTTGACAAATGACTCCCTCCAAGCTGTTTGAAAAATTTGTTTCCCAAAAGCTTTACTTGCAGACCAAACAAAACAAAACAAAATCTTGTCTATAGTTAAAATCAATACCTTTTTTGGAATGCTGATGATTCTTATGCATAGCTGTTAGCTTGGAATTTCCATCTTTTCAGTTTTGTCTAAAATTGATCAAATTTTTATCTCCAAGACAATGAAGTATAAAATATAATTAATACAAAATGTAGAAACATGTTGAGTCTGTGCTTCTGCTACAACTTTATCTCAAGGAAAACATAAAACCTTCCCCTGACCTCCCTCCTCCCTCCCCCAGTGTCAGTGCAGATAGACTTCTCATTGGTGTAAAAATATAAACTCTGCATGCATGGACAGACCAAGAAAACTGTTTTGACATCTCCCCAAGAGACATATATCTAATTAATTTGTAAATATCTCTGGTCTTTGAACTATGTCTACTCCCAAGTCTAAATTATGAAATTGGGTTAAAATGTCCAGAATGTGTTGCACAGATAAGATATTTGAAAGATATTCTTAGTTTTCAAAAAAGAAAAATCTTAAATTTCTGTTCTGGAAACTGAAGGCTGGTATGTGTTATTTTATGCAGAAAGATTGTGTTTCATCTGCTACAATTTAAGTTTTGGCCACTAGCAGAGCTTGAAGGCAGCTTGTATCTAAATAAGCATACATGGGTAAAGCTCCTTGCTAAGGCTTGGATTAGTGGCCTCCATGAAACAATTGGAGGTTAGTCAGGGTTCTGGTATTTATAAATCTATTCCAATTTGTAGTTGACAGAATATGTTTGTGAAAAGACACCTTTTAGACTGAAAATATTCAGATTTGCTCTCAGCTCCAATGTGGGCATTTTGTTTATTGTTAAATAAGTTAAATTTTTCAAGATCTCCCCTGGAAAATGTGAAAGGGCAAAATTAATTTCAATGTTCCTTAGTGCTTCACTAGGTTCAATCAGAGATAAATCTGCAAAACAAAATGAACTTGTGAAATGACTATTGAGACAGGATAGTAACCCCGGACAAGTGGAATAGGGAAATAGATAGTTAAAGGGCCCAGCAGTTTACAGCCATCTAATAAACCACAAAATCCTATACTTCTTCACCCCAACCAGAGGGTAAATAGCTTAAACAGGGATGGGGAACATCTGGCAAGCGGGCTGCATATGGCCCCCGAAATCATTTGATCTGGCCCTGCCAAGGCCTCACCAAAGAGAAGTGGTTCCAGCCGTCACATTAGGAGTGACTTAACTAAATATTTGACCAAATATAGCAGGTTAATTTTCAAGTTGATAATTCTGTATGGCCCTCGAATGATGTTATAAATATCCAAATGGCCTTTGGCAGAAACAAGGTTCCCCATCCCTGGAGCCTTAAATCATCCTACTCAGGCAGATAGATAGCAGAAATCCAATTACTGCCATTGATGTCAGACACACCCAAGGACAGATGAAATTAAGAGAATAAATCTCACTTTGGCGCATCAATGTAAAGCTGATGAATATTCTATAGAGATCCTTCCCAAAGACCTTCCCTAAACTCCCAGCCTTTAAAACTCTTTGGCCCAGGGCACATTCTCCCTCCTGGGAATACGTCGGGGCCTTTCCCTTCCCCTTCGTCCCCCACAGGCGCGCATCTCCCACATGCTAAGGGACACCACCAGACTCGCAACCCGGGGAGCAATGGGCAGCAGCGGCTCATCCTGGGCTAACCCCCTGAACCTGTCTGGAAGGCCCCCTTTTCTCAGACTTTCCAGGCAGCCAAAGCAGCTCCGCCTAGGCTCTCTCCTATTGCTTCTTCTTTTTCCTAAGCCCTTCCTTGTTTCACTGTCCCCAGCTTTAATAAATGTCCTCTCAAAATCACCTGGACTTGTTTTGTGAAATCTTTCCTGCATGAAGTCAGGAACCCACACTACAGGCCCACCCGAGGCAGCCCCGCTTTGGGCCTTCCCAATTCTTGTCCAGTAGGTAACACGCTCACTGCAGAGCCTGGTTTTTAATAGTTTATTTGGGAAGAGTGGAAAGAATGCCCAACAGCCTTGAACTTCAGAAGGAAACGTGAGCCTCTGAAAGATAAGCATCAGATAGGCTCTCCTTTGCCTTTGTTATGTGGAACAGTAAGAAGCAAAACAAACATACAGGGTGGGGCAAAGTAGGTTGACACTTGTTTGTATGGAAAATAACACAATAATTAATAACTAATATAAGGATAAACTCTGTTTCTCATACTCATGACTATCAACCTACTTTTGCCCCACCCTGTATGTTATGCATAGCAAAGGAAAGGAGACCCTGTCTGATATAATGATTATTATTATATAATAACATCTAATGCGTCATCTGTAAAGACTTTTCCTGAGTGGACTTACTCTACAGAGACTGCACAGCAGTCACTGTGTCTGTGAAGAAAGACAGATGGAGAAAGAGAAGAGTACATATTTGCTCTCAGGCTTTCTCTCTGTGCCCATTCATATTTCAGATCTGTAGAGTTTTTGTTTGCTTACTTTGTTTGTTCAGTCAGTTGATTTTTTTCTATCTTCCCATGCAGTCCTGAGCCACAAAAGTAATTAATCTTCAAGACAATAAACTGATGTTGGCTTAGCTGGAGTGATCACGTATGTAAACACGGTGGGAAGGAGCTATTCGAGTCCCCCTACCAACCTTCGAGAATCCCTCATTGAACTCTGAGAACCTGAGGGTGATGGGGCCACCACAACCTAGCTATTGTGACTTCTACTTAGTCTCTGAAAGGCTTCGAATGTTGGAATGCTTCTAGAAAGTGGTCAGATGTCCCTAAGTTTAAAAAATTTGTCTGATTTTTATTGTAAAAATATCAAGTTTTATGCCAGTGTCCTACTTTTTATTTACTTTTCGTTTTATAAAGGGATATTTTCTCTTTAGTTCCTAGAGTCCTAATTTAGAGCCAAAAGAGATCCCCCTCCTTCAGACTGAAGCTCTTCGAGGTCTGTTACCTACCTTTCTAATATTTCTGGGCCCCCCTCTTTTCCCCATTTTTTCTGATTCTGTCTTAACTGGTATTTAATCAAATCTCACTTGGATAATAATAATTATAACTGGTTGCCCTGTTTTGTTTCTTCCTTCAGTTCTTGTCATTGCACTAACTCAAGAGTGATCTTTCTAAAAAAAAAACAAAAAACAACTGAGCGTTTATTTTACTTTCATATATGACAGTCCTACAAAGAATTACTGTTGCATTCAAAATGAAATCAAACTCTTCTGCTTGTCACAAAAGATTTCCCGTCCCCATCTCAGCACCTACCACTTTCTACTTCAGCCTGTTTCTGCTGCGGTGGACACACAATGTTGTTTTATACCCTGTCTTTGTGTGTACTTTTTCTTCTGTCTAAAATGACCTTTCCTCTTGCTCACTGGAAATTCATTAAGACCCAATTCAAGCATTTTTCTCTTTAACACCTTTCGCTACACCCAGAAAGATGCAAACTCGTGTCAGTATAACACAAGGGCTGTGCTACAGAGGACAGGAGGCGGAGGGTGGAGTCCTGAGGCCTTTCAAAGACTCAGAGAGAAGAGCACCCCTTGGCTCAAAGAGTAAAATCATAGACATAAAGAAGAATAGCCAGAAGACAATATTCTGTAGAAGATGCTTATATTCTTATCTCTTCTGAGGACACTGACGAGACTTCCTCTGGTATGTGTCTTAGATAAGAGGTTGGCTGATAACATCTAGACACTTCTATCCAATGAGAAGTGGGAAAGTTGCAAACCAAGCAATGAAAGTAGAGGGGACGTGGTGTTACCAGAGATACAAGAAAAGTTTTCCTGAACATATTTAGTATTTAAAATATACCTCTTCTAAAAATAGATGTCAGTTCTTTAAGTTGAATCAATTGAGCATTTTCCTTACTTTCCTTCCTTGGCTGTAGAACTATGAAACACAGGACACCAACCAGCACTTGGGAACCAGTGGTTTACTAAGTCACATTTAGCCCCTTTTCGTATTGTGCCTTGGCCTATTTACAAGCAGTGGAACTGTGGTGTGAAGAAATCGACATCCTTAAAGGGAGAAGGTGGGACTGTAAGTCAGTGCAGGATTTACAGAGGGCCCTCTGGAGACACATGCTGATACAAAACATGCATATCCTTTGATCCGTNGCCCTCTGGAGACACATGCTGATATAAAACATGCATATCCTTTGATGCGGCATGTCCACATCTAGGAGTTGATCCTCATGGAATGATCAGGTGAATTCAGGCTGATGCAATATTATGCCAGCACTGTTGGCTGTATTGATAAGTTAGAAGCAACCTAGGTATCCTTCAGTAGGATTTGGTTGAATAAATTGTGATATAGTTATATAATGTACTACAGCGCAATCAGATAAATGACTACTCTCCACCATTAAATATTAATTACTTTTACAACTATGTATTACTTTTTTATTTTAAAAGTTTTTATTTATTGATTCATTTTTAGAGACAGAAAGGGGAGTGGAGAAAGAGAAACATAGATTTGTTGTTCCACTTATTTATGCATTCATTGGTTGATTCTTGTATGTGCCCTGACCGGGGATGGAACCAGCAACCTTTGGTGTGTCGGGATGACACTACAACCAACTGAGCTACCCAGCCAGTTTTTTTTATTTATTCTCACCGAAGATATTTTTTCCATTGCTTTTCAGAGATAGTGGAAGGGAGCGAGAGAGAGAGAGAAACACCGATGTGAGAGAGACACATCGATTAATTGCTTCCCGCACGCACCTCGCNGAGATAGTGGAAGGGAGCGAGAGAGAGAGAGAAACACCGATGTGAGAGAGACACATCGATTAATTGCTTCCCTCACGCACCTCGCCCAANAGAGAGAGAGAGAAACACCGATGTGAGAGAGACACATCGATTAATTGCTTCCCGCACGCACCTCGCCCAAGGCCGGGGATCGAGCCTGCAACCGAGGTATGTGCCCTTGGCCAGAATTAAACCCAGGACCATTCAGTCCGTGGGCAGGCGCTCTAACCACTGAGCAAACTGGCTAGGGCTGTATTGCTTTTTTAATGAGCAAAAATAATGAAGCTATTTTCATTAAAAATTTTTTTTTACACAGCACTATCTTTAATTTTCACATTTAATGCTTATGAACTTGTTAACTTCTGTATCTTTCAGAATGCTCAGCATTAACAGCTTGTACCTGATAGATTAATATTAGATATTACAGTTGAGCCTTGAACAATGCAAGGGGTGGGGGGAGCCAATGCCCCAGTAGTTGAAAATCTGTGTATAATTTTTAACTCCCTCAAAACTTGATTATAGTCATCCCTCGGTATCCATGAGGGGTTGGTTCCAGGACAATGTCCAACCCCTGCCTTCAAAGATACTAAAATCTGAGGATGCTCAAGTCCCTCATATAAAATGCTGCAGAACAGTGCCTAAAGCCAGCTTTCCAAATCTGCACATCCCAACCTCAAACTGAAAATGCTGTTTTCTGTCCATGGTTGGTTGAATCTGCAAATGCGAAACCTGCGGATACAGAAAGGGCTGACTGTATTTATTGAAAAAATTCTGTGCATAAGTGGATCCACACAGTTCAAACCCTGTTGTTCAAGGGTCAACTGTATATTAGTTTTCTATTACTGCTATAACAAATTATCATAAATGTAATGGCTTAAAACAACATAATTTTATTCTCACAGTACCGGAGGTCAGAAGTACAAAATCAGTTCCACTGGGCTAAAGTCAAGAGGTCGGCAGGGCTGGTTTCTTTCAGAGGCTCTGAGGACGGTACTTTTCCTTGCTTCTTCCAGCGGCCAGGGCTGCAATCCTTACATTCCTTGGCTAGTGTCCCCTCCCGATCCTCATTGCCAGGACTACAGCATCTTCTGGAGTGTTCTCTGCTTCCATCGTCACATCACCTTCTCCTCCATAGTCAAATCTCCTGCTTTCCTCTTATAAGGACCCTGGTGATTACACTTTGGGTCCACCTGGACAGTCCAGGATAATCTTGCCATCTCAAGGTCTTCAACTTAATCACCTCTGCAAAGTCCCTTCTGCCATGTAAGGCAGCATCTGTAGGTCGCTGGGTACCCTTCAGCCTACCACAGACACTAGTTAACTAAACATTCACAAAGCAAGTCTTGCAACATTGGTTTAATTTTCCAAGAAATCATTTTCTAAGAAATCTTGATTCTTACCAAATGATTCCCTTTTCCCCTTTTCACAGACTGATGTGGGTGTGGCTCATTCCAGGGACAATTGCAGACCCCAGGTTGAGGCTCTGCGCAAGGACACTGTGGGCAGCCCCGAAGGCCTGGAAAAGCAGGTCCAGTTGGAAAGCTTACCAGGAACCATTCCAGAAAGTTCTCCATCTCCTAGCGGAAGAAACAGAAGAATAAATTTAGGTAAAACCCCCCATTCATGTTCATCTCAATAAAATACTGTTTCTGTAAATATACTTCATAAGGTGTGTTTGGTGGCCCCTTTGTCAGAGCTTTGTGGGCCAGGGAATGCTCTAAATGTCAGGGTCCCTCTCTCTAAGACATTAGAATCTAGCCTTTAGTCTTCATTATGTTAGTAAATATTGCTAACCATTAGTCTTCTGGTCATGAAGTAATTAAACCATCTTTTTCCCCCCTTAACCAAGAGCCTTATTGGTGGTTGGTAATAGGCCTTAGGAATAGAAGCTACACAGGCTTTGGTTAAATTTCTTTAAACTCCCACTACGTTAACATTTTTTCAAGGGAAAATTCTACATGTGAAAAAATATATAAAACCTGCATCAACTCTTTCCCCTCTCTCTCCCCATCCAAAGTATCAGCAAATATACAATGAAAGAATCTTTCAGAACATAAAGAAGTAATTGCGACCTAGTGTGCCCTTTGAAACTGTTTGTTTCTAAATGTTTTTCTTATGGTGTGTTTTCGCTTTCCTTCAGTTACCCCCTGGTGTCGATATGAGAGCTCTTATTTATATTTTATCAGCCTTTGAAACAAATTGAACTTAACAGGCCTCAAGGAAAAGTAGTCTCTTTTATTTGGGGAAAAGGCTTTCATTTCATTCTTCATTGCTATAGATTCTTCCCTAGATACAAGTTGGAATTAGAAAACAGATAGGTTATAAATGAGATTCTTTTTCTTGGACTTCCATGCACACTCAGGTTATCACAAATTTCACATTCGCCCTTGACTTGCGCTTCTGATTTGTGCAGACGTGACCTCCAAGAAGTAGGTGGGAGGCAGGGATGCAGCACCGGCCAGCCCCTCCCTCCCTGTTGTGTTGGAACAGCGCATATATTTATTTCTCTCTGAAAATTCTGCTGATGGGAATCCCTCCTACACTGCAACGTGAATGCTCAGTATCTGTGGTGTTAACAGACTAGAGAGAGCTGGGTGGACAGGGACCTGGCTGTGCCCCCCACAGTCAGCCCTGCACTGTTGAAAGCAAGCTGGGGGAGACACAGTGCAACAGGAGACCAGCTTGGGGAGGGAGCCAACTACCAAAGCAGATGTTTCCAAAACATAGTGTCAATTAGGTCTCGGGGAAGCTCTTACCACAGAATGAAGACGAATAAAGCTAGTGCCCTGAGCTTTATAGTCTCGTTACTCAGTTTCCTGTCTGCTTTCTGCATCCTGGGCTTCACATCTACAGACTATGTTTGTTAAAAATTTCAAATTTCACACTAACACTTCCCAAGTATTTCCTATGGGGGAAAAACTTCTTATTTTGAATAACTTCAGATTGAAGAAAAGTTGCAAAAAACAAAGAACGTCTGTATTCTTTCACCCAAATTCCCCAAATGTTAACATTGTACCACGTTTGCATTTTCACCGCCCTCTGCCTCCCTCCATCTCTCCTTCCCTCTCTCCCCCTCATATATATTTTTTAATCTGCACTGGAGAATACATTTTTCCATTGCTTTCCAGAGAGACTGGGGGGGAGAGAGAGACCTCTATGAGAGAGCCGTGCATCGACTGGTTGCCTCCCACACGAGCCCGGCCGAGGCTGGGGATGGAGCCTGCAACCCAGGGACGTGCCCTTGGCCGGAATCCACATGGGAGCCATCGGTGCGCAGGCCGACGCTCTAACCACTGAGCACCCAGCCAGGGCTACAAGTATAATTTTCTGAGAATGAGTTACAGACGTAAAGATACTTTACTCCTAAATATACCAGCATGTATTTCCTAAAAATAAGAACATTCTTTGCAAAATCCCAGCACAAGGATCTGAATCAGGAAATTACCGTTGATGCAGCACTATTATCTCATCTACAGACCATATTCAGATTTTGTTAACCCTCTTACAGATGTCCTTCGTAAATAAATGTCTGGTTCTAGAGCTAATTCAGAATCACGAGTTTAATTTAGTCATCATGTGGTTTTAGTCTCCTTTAATCTGGAACAATCCCTCAGCTTTTCTTTGTCTTTTATAACCCTGACAGATTTGGAGGTATAGACCATTTATATTGTAGAATGTTCTCAGGTTGTGTTTCTTCATGATTAGGTCCAGGTTATGCATTTTTAGCAAGAATACCAAAAATTATATTGTACCCTGCTTAGTACAGTATGATATCTGTACTTGATATCTATATCTATACTAGATATTTATACTTGACTTTTATTATGGGGTTTTGTTTTTTGGGGGTGCCATGCAAAATTTTTTTAATGTAGTAAAATTTATCAGTCTTTTCTTTTATTGAATCTGGATTTTGAGTCTGTTAGAAAGCCTTTCCCTACACCAAGGTCCAAGAAAAATTCACCCATGTTTTCTTGTATGACTTTACTTTTTATACTTATGCTGATGAAGAATTTCTAACCACAGGAGAAATGCTAATGTAAATGTTCCACTGCATAGGAAACAAAACTCTATGTTCAGTGTGGTGGTGCTTTTCTAAAAATAGCATTTTATATATTAACAATGGCGATCATCCGAATGGTAAGAGAATGGACAGTTTTAATATCGTTTTTATTCTTTCCTGTATTTTCCAATTTTATCATGTATTACTTTTATAATCAGAAAGAAGTAGAATGTTATTTTTAAATATTTCCCCAATATTCTTCAACATCCCAAGAAATTATGAAAATTAGTCAAAATGGCTGACACAGTCCAAGGGTTTCTGTTATAGGTCAGCTACTGCAAATGCCACCCAAATACTTCAGTGGATTCAGAAAAGAATAGATGAAAATGGTTAACATAATTGTACTTTGTTAGTGACAGGCCTCCACGGTGGCATTCTTTCTAGAAACATCCTGGGAAACTAGACCGTGACCAGTGGGAGCCGTGTACTTGGCATGTTCGCGAAGAGGGCAGTGAGGTGGGGAAGGGCATGGCTGTTGAAGTCAGACTTGGGTTTAAATCCTACCTTTGTCACCTTGAGCAAGTTAATTAGCCTCTCTCACATCAGTATGTTTATTTATAAAATAGGGATAATAATATGTCTCTTACAGAGCTTATGTTTGATCCAGATGTTATAAAGCATTTAAAGTACTGAACATAGTGCCAGGTGAGAAGTTTCCATGAAAAGACTCCATCCACTCCATGGAATGGACTTGCCAACTACCCAGACTGCCTGGTGATTACAGAATAGAAGATAGCTCATTTCTGAAGACTCCCTTTTGCATTTTTATTTTACAATGTGAAGTTGTAAAAAGGGATGCTTGCTTGTTTGTTTACATAACTGAGTGACTTGTAATGGGGGGGTGTCTCAGAGCAGTTTATAAAGGCTCCCCTATAAACTGTTTCAGTGCATTTTTAGAATCACTAATAAAAATTTAGCTGATATTACTTGACTCCAATTCCGAGATGGTTCAAAGACTCTTTTTCAAAGAGGCATATTTTTACTTGTGTAGATTTAGCAGATGGCGTAATTGTAAACTCAGAGCTGCAGAACTAGAAGTCTCTTGGCAACATCACGCTGTTTATCCTTTGTATACAAAGCATAGAAACCAACTGCAACTCGAGTCACCCAATGAACATCTCATTCTCAGCTGTGGTTTGGCTTCATAATGAGTGCGGAGAACCCATGTAGTTGTACCCAAGTGTGCAAGTGTTGTTACAACAAAAAATAGTACCTAGCACCTGAAGGACTTTTTGTTATGTTAATATGGGGTCTGCTCAGTAAACAGTATATTATGTTGATGTGCATCCCTTGTTAGAACAGTAAGAATCTGAACTTCAAAGGATTCAAAGATTTATAATAGAAACAGATATTTAGGTAAGAGTGTTGAGTGTAAGATTTAATTAAGTAGCATGACTTCTATGGCATCCATTTAGCATTTGATTGATTGTTAACATCTTAGAGCTTAAATTTTGCTTTTTTTTCCTTCCCTTGGAAGACTTATCGACCAATGGATTAATCCATAAACCCCAACCCCTAGAGAATCGAGAGCGACAAAAGTCATCAGACATCCTGGAGGAATTAATTGTTCAAGGAATAATACAAAGCCACAGCAAAGTATCTAGAAATGGAGAATCGTACGATGTCATGGCAAGTAATTTTGTGAATAACATTAGCTTATAGTTAAAAATAGCAATAGAAATATGATTGATCACAAGTTATTTCCAGCATATGCATCTTGGAGTCACAATACAGACAGCATTTATCTAAGCCAGTTTTCCCCCCATAAATTCCCCATCCTTCTCTGTGGATTCAGAATTGCACTAATCATTAATGATTAATGAATTCAATAAAACATATCTTGGGTTCTACTAAATTTGTGATGCAGTAAGCCCCATCAAATAACATGCCTCACTCTTTCGGCAATTTTTGTTAAGCATTGCCTACGTACTGGGAAGCGTGAATATAAAACTGAACTCTGACTTATCCAATAAGAAAACAGGCCTAAATGCCAAAGCTAAACCAGACAGTTATACATTTATGTACACACTCTAAGGTCAAATATGAGGAATATCATTCTAGAAATTGTTTTACTAGTACTTGTTTTGTTGACTCATCTTGACTATCATTATTTTCTTTAGCATGAGTAATATCTTTACTCTGATTTTAACTTATTGATCAAGACCAAAGCCTTGAGGTGTTAATTTTTGAATAAGTTCTCTGTAAACCTATGAAGAGGAAAGCAGGTTTTGTTGGTTATGTCATTTTGTTTTGTTTTCTTGTGTGTTTGTTTTTAAGCCAATGTACCAGCACCAGTTGTCCTAAAGCACAGGTAGAAGAAAGAAGGTAAAAGAGGAAATAGCAGAGAAAAAAAGCCTGAGGGGAAAAAATGGATGGGAAAGAAAAAAAGACAGAAATGGTGGAAACAGAGTCTGGAAATTATATCAATGACTCCTGTGCTGTAGGGAAAACAGTCAGCTGGGAAGAAAAGATGCATTATTTATTTATTGTTATCCTCACTCGAGGATAGTTTTCCATTGCTTTTCAGAGAGTGGAAGGGAGAGAGAGAGAGAGAGAAACATCGATGTGAGAGAGGCACATCGATTGGTTGCTTCCTGCACGTGCCTCAGTCCAGAGCCGGGACCAAGCCTGCAACCGAGGTACGTGCCCTTGGCCAGAATGGAACCCGGGACCCTTCAGTCCGCCGGCCGATGCTCTAACCACTGGGCCAAACTGGCTGGGGCTAGAAAGATGCATTATTTACATCAAGTTTGCCACCTAGCGCAAGTTACTTAGTGTGTAAATGAAGGTAATTTCCTCTTCTGCTTGGGAAATGCTGAGAACTCGTGAATCAAACCTAAAGTGGCATTTTCTTCGAAGAAGGAAAGTAAGGCCTGCAGAAGGTACTTGGGGGGAAAGAGGAGATCGCTGAGCCTTCTGAATGATACTATCAGGCTGCCAATAATAAGAGGATGGGGGGGAAGGGGAAGGTGAAAATGGACCATGTGACGGACAAGATAATGCCAACATAATGATATTTACATTTGTACAGCGGCATGAGACAAGGCATTTCCGAGTCCTTGTCTGAAAGTGCTAAAAATGATGCATCTTTAGTATAGAAAGAGAGAGGAGAGATTTTTTTTCCTAGCTGTAGGTGAGTCTCGGGGGTGGGGTCAGATGAAAAGAAAGTGTGTCAAAAGAAAAAGACAGGAGAGCAATGGAGGAGACCAGATTCTGGAAATATTAAGTAGCTAAGCGATGCCTTCTTAAGGGAAATGCTGGGGAACCTTGATGTGAATGCCGACGGGAATAGCAGGAAAACATTTTCCAGTGATTCAAACGCCAGAGATGGATGAATTCAGACTCAGACCTTGCAAGGGCACCAGCAAGGTTAATTAATATGAGTTACATCATGAAAGAGATGTCTTTTTTAAAAAAATGTAAATTATGGGCTTGACCTTCAATAACATCATTAAGCGAGGCAAAGATGAAGGCTCTTCGCATATTCTATAAAGATGGAGTCGTCGTCAGGAGCATAGCTGGAGTGTTCTCTCAAGGATTTAAATGTGACAGAAGTGCAGAGGCAGGCAAGGATGATACAGCCTTCTGTGTTTGGGGGGGGGGGGGGTTGTTTTGATTTTGCTTTGGAATTGGGCCAAGATGCCGGGACTTAAGACTTGCAACAGGCCTGCAGTAATCCACAGCTGTGCCTTTTATTGCCTAGGGCTGTGGTCCTTAACCTGGCTGCACCTTCCAGTCACTTAGGAAGCCTTCAAAGCTCCGCCTGGGACCAGTGGCTGGGGCTGGAAGCTCTCAGGTGATTGCCGTGGGCAGCCCAGGCTGAGAACCACTGCCCCACAGCTTCAACAAACACCTACACAAAGCCTTCAAGTTCACCCTAGAGCTGGAAGGGTAGAAACTTTTGAAAGAGAAATCCTCCATTCGCTGTGAAAGAGAATTCTAAAATATTCCTGCAAATATAACGTACTATCAGATATAAGACTAAGATTATACCCAGGGAGCATATGGAAATAAAGGAGAGGTATAATTGCTCAGTGTCTCCGCTAAAATCTTCAATTCATGTGTAGCTGAGAACATAAGTGTGTCAGACACCGGCTGTCTTGCATAGTTTAAGAAAAGTTATAAGGCCACTGTGAAAAGATGAGAGTGAAAATGGAAGGACTGAAAGGGAAACCATATTAAGAATAGAAATATTATTAGCTAAGACTTTTGACTATCTATTATTTAATAATATTTTTAGGGGGGAAAAACAGATGATAAAATTTGCTACAAAAACAGGCCAGAGTAAATGAAAACAAAAAGAGGATAGTCCGAAAGGGATGTTAATGTCTTCAGTTACTGCAATGTGTAAACCCAATGAGACATATAAACACGATTTCTTCATTGCTTAGAAAAACACCCTTTTAACTATTATGTGGAAAAAAAGAGTAATAGATATGAGAGTACTTTAAAAACAAGACTCCTTATGTAGACCAATAGTATACTTAAATCCAAGAGCACTTAGAAACAGATCTGGCCCCTTCCTAGCCAGGTGGTTCTCTTTAATTTGGTTATCATTTCGAGTGACGCAGAATAAAGGACGCTGAAAAGTGAGGGCCCCTCATTCATCTTCTGAATCCGGGGACTCCCCTGTGAGCCAGCCTCTGCCCAGAAGTCATGGCAGTATCTGTGTCCCCACAGGGCCCCCTTCTCCTTCTTTCCTTAATTTTTATCATTTGCTGGTTGGCAAGGGCTACAGCAATTTCATGATGCCCTCTGGGTAACCTGCTCTCGGGCATATCCATACTCATAGATGTAATGTTCACTCAAGAGAATATGATGATATGTAGGAAATATAATATTAAGAAGCTAAATATCAGACTAAGTGAATCAGTATATTTTTAATCATTCTAAAGAGACGTAAGTGGCTGTATTATAAATGCGAATTGGCTTTTAAAATTTATTTTATTTTATTTATTGTTCAAAATATTACAGATGTCCCCTTTTCTCTCCACTGACCCCTTCTACCCTCTACTATAAATGTGAGTTGGTTTTATACACACATATAAATATGTGTACGGATTGGGATGGATCTCTTTAGAGGGAGGTGATCGGCTCTCATTTATCCACATAGGTATTAATCACTTTAGGTGTCTTTTCTCCCAAACTTATTTCTCCATGTCTCTTAGGGCATCATGAGTCTCCCTACATAAGACTCTGAATTCTCTAGTGACTCTCCTGTCTCTGGTCAAAGTTTATTCCCTTCTCCAGCAACTTCTGTACTGGTAACCTTTAGTGCAGTTAGGGAGTTTGTCCACATTGCATCAGAGTCTCTAGCATTATTTGCTGAACCTCATGGGGAGTTTGTTAAGGAGGAGGAAGTCACTGGGTAAAAACCAATAATGCCAGTTAATGCTCAGACTGACCTTCCCCAGGAGGTCTAACAGTGACCGGGCAGGAATGACAGATACCTACCTCTCCAGAAGCTTGGGCCTATTTTATACACAGGACTCCGGTAAGGGGCCATAGCCAGGGTAGGTTCGTCTGTAGGTCAATAGTTAATTAGGGAAGCTCTGAGGAGTACATAGTGGATGCAAGAAGTAATATTAAAAAAAAAAAAAAAAGAAGTAATATTATACAGTTAGGTTGGCTGGAAAAAAGACCCAAATCTTATCACAGCATCTTAGGGCATGGCAGTCTTCCAGCGGTATTCTTGAAATAATGGAACTAGTAACCTCTATAAGCTTTTTTAAAAATATATTTTTATTGACTTTAGAGAGAGAGAAAATGGAGAAGGAGAGAGAAAGAGAAACATCAGTGAGAGAGGAACAGTGATTGGCTGCCTCCTGCATGCCCCTTACTGGGGATCAAGCCTGCAACCTGGGCATGTGCCCTGACCAAGAATTGAACCTGCGATCTCTTTGTGCCTGGGACCACGCTCAAATGAGTCCCACCGGCCAGGGCTCTATAGATATTAAAGTGTTGTTGTTTTTTAAGTGTTTCTATTGGTAGCACCTCTCTAAGTATAATGTCATCCTTGTTATCATTTTTAAGTGCCAACAGTTGATAAATTCTGACTTCATAAAATTCAGTGGTAAAGAATAAAGATATCTTTCCTCAGGTCTTTCAATGCTTTCACTTAAAATGTCAAACTCAAGCCTGGCGGGGCATGGCTCAGCTGTTGAGCATGGATCTAGGATCCAGGCAATCGGGGTTCGATTCCCGGTCAGGGCACATGCCCGGGTTGTGGGCTCGATCCCCAGTCGGGGGCATGCAGGAGGCGGCCTATCAATGACTCTCATCATTGATGTTTCTATCTCTCTCTCCCTCTCCTGTGTGTTTTTTTTAAATGTCAAGCTCAAGAAAGGATGTGGGCTGCACAGGTAGGATTAACTTCTGAAATGAGGAGGAAGTACATGATTTTATAGGCACTGTTTTGGGATAGAGCCACAGGAAAAGTCCACCCAAACAAGAAATCCTAAATTATCTCAGAACTCTGGATCTGATCCTTTTAATCAAGGCTCAGTGTCCTATGTAAGCCCTAATTGAAGCTTCCTTTATAGGATCCTGGACTACCTACCATTTCATTTTCTTTTAGCCTCTATGCGTCAACTCCCCCAAAAACTGTTTTTATACTGATTTCACAGCATCTCTAGTTCAACCTCCATAGCAAATATGTCCCTTTTTCAGCAGGTGACTTTTGCCAATAGGAAGCCTACAAGCCAATGGTCATAAAAATAATACAATGATAGGGGAAGTGGAGTTGCTTTGACAAATATCCCACAGTTTTTTTGTAGTCCACATAAAACTGCCTCAAGGCTGTAACTGAGCTGAAGCTTCAACAAATATTTTCCCTTTAAAAGGCTTCCTGAGAATCAGAGATCTTAAGGCTGGAAGAAAGTTTAGCCACCCTCAGTCCCCTCACTATTTTTACATTTGAGAAAACTGGGTACAAAGAGCAAAGGTGCCTTGTCCCAGGTCACAGAGTATCAGTGGTATGCCAGGGGTTAAAGTCCAGACCCCTGCCTGTTGACCCCTTCGATTCCAACTCTCATTCCTCCCTTTTGTGACAAATGTTATATCTTGGTTATGATTCTATATGCTGTCATTGAAAAAAATCACTGCTTTCACCAAATGAAAGGTAATTAAGTACCATTTTCTGAGTGGCCATGATCCACTTCTCCTTCCTTTAAAAAAAACAATCCCATGAAAAAGTATTATTAAACTTATTTTACAAATGAGAAAGGCAAGTGTTACAGGATTTAACACTGTGGCTGAGCCAGGATTCAAACCCAGGTCTTTCCGGTGCTTTTTCCTGCTGTGCTAAATTGTCTCTCGTTGATTTATTTTCTCAATACTTACAGTATGGCAGTCTGATGAGAAGTCTTTTAAATATTATAATGGATATCAATATCTCTTCTGCCTTTAAACATCTTTAGAGAAATTATCTAGAACGATATTCAGCTCATTGTATAATGAAGCCTTGGAGTTCATTAAGATCTCCCCCAGTTGTAATAAATCCATGTATAGTAAGCTAGAAAGATGTCCATATTAAATTAAGTGGGGAAAGCAAATCGCAGAGCAGTGTCTGTGGTATAATCCCATTATGTTTGATTAAGTATTACAGATGTACTTGACCGTGGTTCATGATCAGGGGCCACGTGGCCAAGCCGAGTATTTGGAGATTATTTATGCATCATTTTAATTTTTTATAATGTATATTATTTTAAAAACTTATTTTAAAAAATATATATCTTTATCAATTTCAGAGAGAGGAAGGGAGGGGGGAAAGAGAGACAGAAACATCAATGATGAAAGTCATTGATCGGCTGCCTCCTGCACGCCCCCCACCAGAGACCGTGCCTGAAACCCGGGCATGTGCCCTGACTGGGAATCAGACCTTGATCTCCTGGGTCATAGGTCTATGGTCAACCACTTAGCCACGCTGGCTGGGCTAAAAACCTAACTTTTAAAAGAAAAAATATGTGAAAAACAAACGCTTTACAATAATTTTACATTTTTTGAGACTAGAAATTATAATCGGAAAGCCATTGTTACTGCTTTGAACTGTTTAAAGGTTTGTCAAACATATGAAATGGGATGGTTTTCTCTGCTGTGAATGTAAACATTTGTAAAGTACCAACAGAAAAGCCCAGCACAGGGCTGCTGCCCAGTAATCGTTAATTCTTTCTTTCACAAGACTGGAAGTACTGAAAACTAATCTCGATCCCAAATGAAAGTCATTTGTAGCTTGTGGCCTATTATAAAATCATTGGGTTTAACTTTTTACCTTGAATCACACATTCTTCACTCATTCGCCACCTTTTTCCATCTTATGTTTGTTCCCAAGTTTTTTTTCTTCTTCCGAGTGCTCGCCCAGTTTCAGCATACCTTTGCATTCTTTCATGTGTTTTGATCATAGTCTGGTTTTCTTCTAGGCATCTAATAAATTATTTTCTTTAGAAATTAGTTCTGTTGTTACCAGGAATTAGATCTTTAGGCCGCAGTCCTGTTGTTACCAGTTTTCATGTTGTTTTTTAAGTCTGACACTGTAAGGTTTAGATTTTTAGGATCCGCCTTTTAAACTGTGCTGATTTTACCTTCTGCCTGTCTTCTCTGCCAGGGACTACATTTGTTTCTCCATTTTAACGAGTGTCTTCCTCCAGGTGAACACGACTGAGAAGCCGCTGAGAAAGCCACCAGCCAGGCTGAAAAAACTTAAGATCAGAAAGGACATAAAGGGTTTCACAGCGGAGGAGCTAGAGGAGAAGATGCAGGCGGTGGCGCAGCGCAGGAAGGTACCTGGGCTGGGCGGCCAGGGCCGCCTGCTACCCTGAGCCTTTCCTTTCGCAGCTTTTAGACAGAGTGCGTGGACTGTGTTATTTTCACGATCTGTATGCCTCTCCTGCTGTATGTTTAATTTTTTTTTTTAATGTGAGTGGTGAAGGAAGGAGGCAGTATCTTGAAATTGGTTGGTTTCATCCACATAGCCTAAATGAGGAGATATCCAGTTCTCAGAACGAAATATGGAGTTTTCTTCATAGGAAGAAAGAAAAAGTTCAGTGGGGGCCAGGGGAGGGGAGGGGTGGGGAGGGAGGACGGGAA